TGTATTTAAGTGTTCGTCTGTGTATTTGTTAAGTGGAAGGCGGTGTTCCTAGAAATTGTTAAAGGAGACAATTTTTTTTTTCGTATTGTAGAGAAATGTGATTGATATAATATGATTGTTATTGTCCTTAATGTCATACGTAGCAGTTACAACAGCAGTAATGTTACTAGTAGTGGGGATAGTACTAAAAATAAGAATATAAAGAAGAATGATTTTAACAATACAATTTATATGGTTACTGCATGTAATGATTATGATACTGACACTAAACATCATCATTTCCATTATCATCATTATACTCGTTTCTGAAGCGACACCAATACCGACATATAACACTAACATCCAAAAATCCCCCTTAAAAACGACGCTCTTTCCACCCTTGTTCCTCGCAGCTGGACGTCTCCCGAAGGCGAGGAGTTCTTCGTGAAGTATGTGGCTGACGAGGACGGCTACCGCGTGGTGGAGTCCAACGCCGTCCCTCGCACTCACGACGGCGTGGCAGCGGACGGGAACCAGGGGTCTTTTGATGACGAGGAAGAGGAAGAAGGTGATGACGAATAGAAAGTAGATTGCGATGAAGAGTAGGAATAAGAAATGGTACGTTTTCACATAATATCGAAAAAACGAAGAAGACAAAAGATACGACAGGAAAAGAAATTACTAAAAAAGAAAGTAATCTTAATCCGCCGTGAAATAAAGAGAGAAGAAAACTTTTATAGGAACACGAGAAAGCAAAATGTTTTCTCAACGAATGTTCTCTTCCGTCGTTGCCATGTCTCATCTGATGTGATATTCTTGTGGCTTGATGTGGATTCGTGTGTTTATTTCCTGTTTCATTTTATTTCTATTCTAAATCGTCTCGTGAAGTAATATAAGTACAAATGTTTAATAGTGCACCCATGCCATTGTGAATAAGTGTTAATAAATAATCTATATCAATGTAAGTAGTAATTTCTTCTCCTCTTAAGATCGTGAAAATTTCGAAAACCTTCCTTATCATAATTCTATCATAATTCCTGATATTTTTTCCCTATTGGGAAGAAAACACTAATACTGAAGATATCTAGTTTCCATTTATCATTACCAATCACTTTATCATAAGTAACAGAAGTGTTGATAGCAGCAAAGATAACAATGAGCGTCATAGCATTACCAAGTTGCTCTGTGCTATTCTATCGAGAGTATTTTTTTGTATCACCGCCAACTAAAAGTATATCAACACATGAATACAGCTGATGCTGATATTATTACATAATAAAACATCTGATCATTAATTATATGATATAAATATATAATACATATTGTATATATATATATATATATAATATATGTAATATATTATATATATATATAATATATATAGTATATATATATATATATATAAAGATATATAACACTGTGATATATGTATGACAACACAATATACACACTATATATATATACTAGGTATAGGTATATATAGATAATATATCTATCTATCTATTATATTATCGATGTATATGTATATATATATATGTATGTATGTATGCACGACAATCATGATAATAATGGTCGTGATGGCAATAACAAGAAGTTATAACTGAAAACATCATCAATAATGATTATGATAATGATGATGAAAATAATGATAATAATAATAGTAATGATAATGATAATGATATTGATAAAAATGATGGTATTGATAATAATGATGATAATAATCATCAAATTAGTTATGCAATCTTAAATGATAGTGATGATAATAATAGGATGATGATGATTGTTATTATTATCATTATTACAATTACCGCTCCTGGTAATGATAATGATATGAACAAGAAGGTTACTAGCTATGATAACGAAAATACTCGTAATTATGATATTAGAAAATTATAATGATAACAGTATTGTTATAATCATCACTTTCATCATTATCATTAATGTTATCATTGTCATTACCTCTATAGTCATCATTATCATTACTGTTATCATCTTCATAGTAACATAATAAAATAACAACATTAATACACTTGCATGTGTATGTAAGTGTTTCTTAGAGTGACAAAATCCAGATTAGAAAATCTAAGACCGCGATACAGCTGTCAAGGTCTCACTAGTGTTATATCTCCTCTGTCATTTTTCCCTGTTTATTGTGTCCACGAAAGAGCTGTCACGCCTGACATGCGGGAGTACGTAACATGGGTCATAAAGTTACCGTAACAGCTTGTAATGACCGTGACATTTGTATGGTCAAGATACAGACAGTGACGAAGGTAGGTTGGGAGTGAGGGTAGGGGGATGGGGAGAGAGAGGGGAGAGAGAGGAGAAGAGGCGGGGGGAGGGGGTAGGGGAGGGGAGAGAAAGAGGGAAAGAGAGAGCGGAGGGAAGAGGGAAGGGGTGGTGGGGTTGGGAGAGAGAGAGAGGAAGGAAGAGGGGGGTAGGAGGAGGGGAAGGGAGAGAGAGAGAGGAGGGAAGAGGGGGGTGTAGGAGGAGGGAAGGGAGAAAGCAGAGGAGGGAAGAA